AAAATGCAACATCTTTTCCTGATAAGAATGTTCAATAAAATAGGAACAGAAGGAAAATGCCTCAGCACATTGAAAAGTGTTTGTGCAAAACCAACCGCCAGCATTATGCTCAATGGAGCGAGTCCAGGGGTATTTCCCTTGCAAAGGGGAAGCAGACAGATTGCCTTTTATCACCACTTCTGCTTAATACTGTAACTCAAAGTCCTGGCCAGTGCAAGAAAAGGAAATAAAAAGTATCCAAACTGGCAGAGAGGAATTAAAATTGTCTCGACTTGAAGATGATGTTATGCGCCATTGAGTCACCTGCGGCCCGATGTACATTAACTGAAAGCTGCCCCATTCTGTGCTAGTCTCATCATCTCCGACAGACCTAATCCCATTGCTCTAGTCAGTCAACCCATCTCATCCAGGGTCTTCCTCTCCTGTGCTGTCCCTCCACCCTTCCAAGCATGATGTCCCTCTCCAAGGACTGGTCCCTCCTAGCCACGTGCCCAAAGTATGTGAGACAGAGCTTCAAAATCCTTACTCCCAGGGAGGAAACTGCTTTCACCCTCTCCACGACAGAACCCATATATACAAAAATCCCAAAGACTCAGTAAGGAAATTACTGCATCTATTGGCCCCATTTAGTAAAGTGGCAGGGTATAAGATACAATGATTCATCTGAGTTTTCTACAGTAACAAAAAATGCTGAGCAGAAAATAAGAAAAGTAATGCCATTTACAATAGTTACTCACAAGATGAAATATCTGGGAATAAATCTAATCAGAGAGAAAAAAAATTCTTTAGAAAGAAAACTATAGAACACTACAAGAAAGACTGACCAAGATAAAGACTAAAATATACCATGTTCCTGGAAGACTTAACATTATGAAAATGACAATATTACCAAGAGTAATCTAGAAACACAATGCAAAGTCTGTCCAGATAATGAATTTTTTTTTAAAGATATAGGAAAAGTAATTACCAACTTCACATAGGAAAGAAAAGCACCCTGGATCAGCAAGCAGAAAATAAGAAGAAAACTCCCCACTTCTGGAGTTCAAGACCTACAGAGTCAGCCAAGCGGTCCTGGTACAACAGGTGTGTCGACCAGTGGAATTAAACTGAGAACCCAGAAAAAAACCCACCCATCTATGGTCAGCTGATCCTTGACAAAGAAATGAAGTGGTGTAAAGATAAATGTGCTGGAAAGTTCGGCTGTCCATCTCCAGAAAACGGAAACAAGGCCCATACTGATGCCACATACAAAAGTTAACTCCAGAAACACCAAGAAACTGAAAGTAAGACAACACTACAAAGATCACTGTTGGGCTAAACATCAAAGTGGAGGTTGACGCTCAACTCAAAAATCCTATGTCAGGACATTTCCTCAAACCGGAACTCAGAAAATCCTATGTCAGGACATTCCCCAAAACCAGAACTCAGAAAACCCTATGTCAGGACATTTTCTGAAGCCAGAACTCAGAAATCCTTTCAGGACATTCCCCAGAACCAGTTTCCCAAGACCAGAAACTTTATGCCCCAATGAGCCACTGAAACAACCCCAGGTAAAGCCCTCAGCCCAACTCCCCAGTGCTGGCATCCTCAGCTGGCACTAAATAAACTCTGAGAAATGTTTCTACCTTCGTGTGGTTCTCAGCTTCGATCCAAAACCTTTTAGTCACCAAAGAAAAAACTGGGGCACACTTAGGGGTCCTGAGCTATGGTTTAAATAGAAAATATGAGTGATACATTTATGAGTGATATATTTAAAAAATATAACTGACACACAATTGACACAGGCTAACTTAGGTGATTGGGACCCTTTACAAATGAAAGAGGGTGCGCTCTTTCTCGTGGCACCGCTAGGGCCGTCGGCTGCTTCACCATGAAGCTGAACATCTCTTTCCCAGCCACTGGCTGCCAGAAACTCATTGAGGTGGACGGTGAACTGGGTACATTTGATGAGAAGCGAACGGCTATGGAAGTTGCCACCGACTCTCTCGGTGACGAGTGGAAGGGATGTGTTGTCCGGATCAGCGTTGGAAATGAAAAGCAAGATTTTCCCATGAAGCAGGGTGTCTGGAACCATGGCTGAGTCTGCCCGCTGCTGAGTAAGGGGCACTCGTGTCACAGGCCACGGAGAACTGGAGAGAGGAAGTGCCCATCTGTCCGGGGTTGCACTGTGGATGCCAATCTGAGTGTTCTCAACGTGGTCATTGTCAAGAAAGGGGAGAAGGCTATCCCAGGACTGACCGATACCACTGTGCCACGTCGCCTGGGGCCCAAGAGAGCCAGCAGAATTCGCAAACTCTTCAACCTCTCCAAGGAACATGATGTCCGTCAATATGTTGTGAGAAAGCCACTGAACAAAGAAGGCGAGAAACCCAGGACCAAAGCGCCCGAGATTCAGTGCCTTGATACTTCACGCGTCCTGCAGCACAAGCGCCGGCACATTTCACTGAAGAAACAACAAGAATAAGAGGACGCTAAGCTTTTGGCCGAGAGAATGAAGGAGGCCAAAGAGAAACTCCCGGAGCAGATTGCCAAGAGACGGAGGCTGTCCTCTCCGAGAGCTTCTACCTCCAAATCCGAATCCAGTCAGAAATAGAATTTTCTATGTGTGGCAAATAAATAAGCTCGTGTATTAAAAAAAAAAATCAAATAGGGTGCTCTGGTGGCCTGGTGTTAAGAAGCTGCAATGCAATCCCAAAGGCACATGGTTCGAATCCACCCGCTGCTCCATGGAAGAAGGATGAGCTTCTTCCCCCGTGCGATGTATTGCGTCTCAGAACCCACTGAAGGGTCAGCCATGGGTTGGTTCCGTCTCAATGGTACACAGCAACAACATCTCAAGAGGAAGACAAGCAAATTAAAAAACAGGCAAAGGCTGAACAGACTTTTCACCAAAGACACACTCAGATGGCCATAAAACAGGTGGGGAAGCATCCAAGATCATCAGCTATCAGAGAGACGCAAATCAAAACAACGGTGAGCTCTGCCATCCCAGAACTAACAGCAGTGGTCAATCAGCAACGTATGCTGGAGAGGGTGCTGGAGACACTCGAACTTCCACGGTTACTGGGGATGTGAAATGGTGTGACTGTGAAAAGCTGTTAGGAGCTTCCTCACGAAGTGGGGAACAGGACAGCATTTGAGCCAGCAGCCCCACTGCTCAGATCCTTAGACGCAAGGCCACATTCCACGCTGACGCCCACACTGTGTGCAGCGCTGTGTACAAGAGTGAAGACTGGTGCCCCCGGTGGACGAACGGCAAAGACCCTGGGGTACAGTCACACGGTGGGACAGCGCGCACCGTTAAAAAGAATTCATGAGGGAAGATCTCGTGGCCTAGTGGCAAGAAGCTGCACTGCAATCCCAGAGATGCACGGTTCAAATCCACCAGATGCTCTGCCAAGGAAGGAGGGACAATCTCCTCCTGTACCAGTCAGATCTGATTGGACGGTACACACACACACACACACACACACACACACACACACACACAAATTAAAAATAAATAATTCATGAAATCCTGAACAACAGAAAGTAAATGAGAACAGACTGTGCTGAGTGACATCAGGCCAGTTATGGTGTAAGACCACCAATGTGAGAAACCAAGACGTCTGCACACAGACGAAGAATCGACCCTGGAGAAGTGAAGCAGAGGAGAGAAAAGCACTTTTTTTTCAAAGTACGTCACAGTAGAGATTACATCTATGTAGACACACTAAGTAAGCTGTTGTTGTTGTTGTTGTTGTTGAGGGGACCCTGGAAACAGTGACTCTGAGCCTGCCTGTCCTGTGCCGTCCTCGCCGTCACCGACACGTGAGGCCGCTGCTACAGTCAGCCGCTCCGTCTCGTCGAGGGTCTTCATCTCGTCCTCTGACCCTCCCCCTTTTCCAAGCATGGTGACGCTGACTGGCCCCTCTAACAACACGTCCAAAGTGAGAGGCATTTCGCCCTCCTTGCCTTTAAAGAGCAGCCTGGCTGCACTTTTCTCCGAGACCCGTTTCTTCGTGTTCTTGGCAGTCCTTATTTAATAAAGGAGCCCTGCTGACATTTGTGTGTTAATGTATTGAACTGTAACTGAAAGGCTGCTGGTTCAAATCCACTAGCTGCTCCAAAAACAAAGATGGGCAGCTAAGAAAAAAAAAATCAAACCTCAGACAGGGGCCAGTTAACTCACGAAGCCTGAGGAAATGCACACTGTTCAGGGAGGGCCTTCTGTCAGGCCACCAACTCGTCACTGCCAAACGTCAACTCTCCAAACCCACCAACCCTCTCATAAACCCAACTTTGTTTTTGTTGTTACTATCATTTTTCCATAACAGAAGAATGTTAAAATCAAGAGGAAATTTTTTAGGTGATAGGCATTTTGTTCCACTCATGTGGGACACCCATGTCCCAGGGGGTCTGGTAGGGCAGGATTGGAGTATGCAGCCCCTTTCCTCAGATTCATGCAATTACACGGGTCCCCACCAGGCGGCAGCACTTATCACAGCTGGGATACCAGGTTCCCAAGACCCTGACAATACTGGTGGCCAATATATGGGTCACAAAGGGGCTAGGTGGGAATTCCCACCCTTCTCTCATTCCTGACAGTAGAAAATCTGCTTCTAGCTGGACTCGTTTGCCTCCTCTGGGCATTTCTCCTACATGGGACCCTGCAGTGTTCGTCCTGCCTGGCTCTGCTCAGCACTGGCCCTAAGTGTGACCTCCAGTCTTTCACAACTCAGAGTCCCTCTTTTTGCAGGACCACCCAGCATCTGTCCATCACCTGGGTGGTCCCACCGTCTGTCCACTGTCAACGTTGGTGTCGCTGCTGACCAGGAGATGGGTCAGGTGGGTCCCTGCAGACAAGGGCAGGGGGCGGGCAGTGGGAGACTTGGGGAGCCGCTGGCTTAGGTCGGGGAGGGGGCTGCATGCCTTGTAAAAGATTTCTGAGGAGGTGGGCCAAGGCCTCGGCTGGGGGGGGAGACTTGGGGTCAAGTTTGGGGTGCGGGGCAGCACCTCACCTGTGGAGTGGTGTGGGGAAGTCAGTCTCAAGGGTCCGCCGGGGGACATAGGGTCGGGCAGCCTGCTGCCTCAGGGTCTCCATGTCTGCCTCTGCACCTGGGTGCCTCCTGCCAGGAAGGCCACCGGGGTCATTGTTGACAGCGACAAAGGCCAGCTGGTGTCCTGGCAACAGGGTGCTGGCTTTCCCTGACAGAGCACTTCCCAGCATGTGGGGTGTCCAGGCAACGGGGTGCTGGCTTTCCCTGACCAGGTGCTCCCCAGCACGTGGGGTGTCCTGAGGGCAGAGGCTGCAAGGATGGGTGGGGTCCTCCAAAGAGGGACATTGCTCCAAACACTTAGCATTTACGTGATGGGGGAACATTTCCACGGGGATGGGGGACATTTAGGTGGGGACTGAGATGGGGGTAGGGGCCGCCACCAGGTACAACCCACTACATCCCTCACCCCCAAGCCGGGACTCCGCCCCAGACCCTGGTCCTCATTCCTCTCAAGTTCTCCCATACCCCAATCCTCTCTTCACCTCCATCTGCCCAAATCTAATCACACGGTGGCACCACTGTGTGCTCGGGCAACAGCAGTCCCAACGGGCAGCGGCTCAGGCTGGCCGACGGTTGGATATGGTGCCCCCACCCACCTGCAGGACACTAACCCCAATCCCTGACCCTTAGTCGTTCCCATGCTACAGGGCAGCACCTCACCGCAGACTGCCATGGCTCTCCTTCAGCGGCTGGACACCCTCGGCCCAGGGAAGCCGGGCAGCCACACTGCGGGTCACGGCCTACGAACACCAGGCCAAGGACCCGCCGCGAAGACACGGAGCCAAGTGGGGAAGGCAGAGTACACGCCAGGGTCCCCACCTGTGGACTCCAGGCTCGTAAACCTGCAAGGCAGGCCCGGTGGTCACTGGAGTGGGGATGGGAAGGGACTGGCTGGCAGGAGGCATCCTCCTGGTCCGGGTGACGGGATCTCCTGGTACCAGGCGGAGTGCAGGCTGCACATCGTGGGTGAAGTCACAGCTGCACACTCCAAGCCTGCTTGTGTCTTTCACTAGAGTAAAAGGTGAAATCAGAAGACAGAGCAGGAATGACGTACGCTGCATTGCAACAGACGAGGGACAGAACTGTTTTAAAAGGGGTGTATGATTCGGTATTATTGTCATAACAGGAGTCCAGAACGAAGGCTGCATAGTGGAGTGGACTTGGGGGGAGGGATTGCATAACAATGAGGTTTTCTTTCTTTTCCAGAAGAGCGAACTGGGGAGGGGGGGAGGCAGGGAGAAAAGTGCAACAATGAATGAATGAAAACCCAGTCTGTAAACTTTCATTAAAATAAAAAGGTAAAAAAAAAACCCAAACCAAGCCCAACAACATGAAACCAAACACTCCGAACCTTCTCGCTTCCCCTCCCTCCTGCTCCCAGGTCACAGTCAGCTCGTCCCCACACTGCAGGTCCTGTCCCTCCTCCCAGCACACAGCTAGGGCATCACCTCTGTGGGGTAAAGGCCTCGAACCCAGAACTCCGCTCTGGCCACTCAGGTCAGCCTCCTGGCTGAGCCTCCCCAACCAGGCCCATCCTGCCCCAGGGCCTTTGCACAGCTGTGCTTCTCCGCCCGCGTCTCCCAGGCCAGCAGCGAGGCCGAAGCACTGCGCCCTCTGCTGACTGACAGTGGTGCCTGACTGAGCACAGGGCCAGGACGGCCAGTGGGTGGTCCTCCCCTGAGGGGAGGGGATGCTCCTCCACTCTGCTGCCTCTGTTGGGGGGAAGGCCACAGACCTCCCCTTGGTTGAACCTAGAGACCTCCACTCTGAGCTACCTGTCCCCACGGGATCATCACCTGTCACCATCTCATCTCCACTCCAGCCTGACCCCTGACCTGCTCCAGGGGGGTCCCCAGAATCATCCCGCCATGCACTGCCCCACTTCCAGTGTCTTTATTTTAAAAAGCGCCATCCCTGCCAGCATGTCTCTGGAATCTGGGACCTCTGGCTGGGTCCCTGGACAGAAGACCCCTCTCCCCCAACAGGGTCTGGGCCCTAGGCTGCCCGGGTCCTCCACCCTCCCAACCCCCATGGCTTGCACCTCCAGGGCCAGATGGATCCAAGACCCCACAGCCATGCCTCGGGTCGACCACTGCCCCGGCAAGTGGGGTGCACGTGGTGGGCCAGCAGACTGTACCCAGAAGGTGGTGCAGGGCTGTTTGCAGGACGGTGTCCTGGGTCCCCACTCCCAGCAGACACACAGGCGGAGCGGAGCCGAGCTGCAGATGTGCAACTGTTTAATGACAAGGACACTGCAAGACAGGACAGTGGGTGCCCTCCCGGGCTGGGCGAGGCATCATCCAGGCAAGGTGCCCTGCAGGGGGTGATGTGTCATGCTGGTGGGCTGCCCTCCGGGGGGTGCCCTCCAGGCAGGGTGCCCTCCAGGTGGGCCGCCTGCTATCATGGGGCCCCAGCCCCACCCTTAGGGCCGTGCAAACGTCAGGTGGCCTATGACCTCGAGACCCTCCTTGGGGTCTGAAATCCCAGCAGCCACGGCCTCCCATCGGCCTGCACAGTGTATCCCTGGGGTCACACACACACCAGGCTTCTTTGGCAGCTCCACGGTGGGGAGGGAATGGGGGGAGTAAGAGGATAGAGGCCAGTTTGTCTTAAGAAAAGGGAAAATGCAACAAAGAGAGAAAAAAAAAGACTTGAACATTCAAACTACACGTGTTCACAGCCCCAGCAGGCTGGTGGCCAGCCTGTGCCAAGGGGACATGCGGGCGGGGAGCACTGACCCACATCTGGCCTGGACCATGCCTGGGGCTGCCCCAGAGCCACAAATACATCAGAGCACTCACAGTTACATATGTACACGCGTTCCTGCGCCTGGGAAGTGCTTGTCCCACCCTCAGATGTCCCCAGGCCCAGAGGACCTGACACACAGCCACCAGAGATGGGTGGGGGCCGACGGTGGAGGGAGGCCCAGGCCCCTGGTAAGGCCTCCCAGGGGCAGTCAGCACAGGGGGATCAGAGGGGACCTGGGTGCCTGGGTGTGGGGACAGTGCCCGCCGGTCACTGGTGCTGGCTGGTGTCACATCCCTGGCACAGGAGGGCCACACCTCAGACAGGCCCTCCCAGACCAACAAGTCCATCCCCGGCCCGGACCCACTCCTGATGCAGCGGCCGAGGCAGTGGTGCCACCCAGGTCACTTCTGTCACAGACGCTGCCCCGTAAGGTCATCGCCGAGAAGAGCGGTGCGCAGTGTGGGGATGCAGAGGGCCAAGGTGACCGAAGGATCCATCAGTGTCCAGTGGGGAAAGTGAGGCCACCACGCTGCCCTCAGGTGTCACGGACGACCAGTCAGGATGGGACTGAGGGCACTGGGCTGGGTGGGCCAGACTTTGGCACCTGTGGGGCCGCTGACCCACATCCCACCCCAGCCAGCAGGCAGGTGTCCAGCCAGCGGGCAGGTGTCCAGCCAGCGGGCAGGTGTCCAGACGCCGTGTGGGGAGTCATGGAGTCACACAAGCGAGCAGCCTGGGTCCTCTTCACTGCAGGCAGGGGGGGACCCACGGGGGTGGCCCACCAGGGGCTGGTGTGAGAGGGCACCAGGAACCCCGCCGTCCCTGCCCAGACACCAGCGACACAGCTGACAATCAGGCATTTAATCGCAATCTTCAGGGTGGTCTGCGCCCAGCTCCCCGCCCCCTGCAGCTGCCTGGGGGATGCGTGCAGGGGAGGGGCCGTGCATGGGGAGCCGGCAGTCACTGTCCTCGTGTGGGGTCCATGGGGCCAGGAGGCCTGAGTTTACCGAATCCTGGTAAAGAGGTTGAGGACTGATACGGACTCCTGTGGACAGAGAGGGAGGTGCTGAGCCGAGGGTTGCAGCTCCACACTCGGCCCACCTCAGGGAGCAGAGCCCAGGAGGAGATGGGGCGCCTGGCTTCAGGAGCAGAGGGGAAGGACAGCGGGGCGCCCGGCTGCAGGAGCAGAGGGGAAGGTCAGTGGGGCGCCCGGCTGCAGAAGTAGAGGGGAAAGGAACTGGAGTGCTTGTCTACAGGGGCAGAGGGGTGTGGACGTATTAGGGTGCTTTTGCGCAGGAGCAGAAGGATGAGGACAGATTGAGGCTCTTTTCTGTAGGGGCAGAGGGGTGAGGACGTATCGGGGTTTTTGTGTAAAAGAGCAGAAGGGAGTGGGAGAAATCGGGGCGCTTGTCTCCAGGACTGGAGTGGGGGATAACAGCAGTGTGCCTGACCACGGGAGCAAAGGGGTGAGAGGAAGGGATGAGGAGATGGAGAGGAGGGAGGGAGGATACTGGGGAGTCTGGCTGTAGAAGGGATTAAGGATGACATTAAGGCACTCCTGGCTGCAGGAGTGTGAGTGGAGGAGGAAGGGGAAGAAAAGAGGGGGATGGAGGAAGATATTAGGGCCCC